AACCTGGGAAATAGAGATAGGTTTAAAAAAAACAGTAATTACATAATGACTGCAGACTGTTGCAGTGATATTTATGAATTCTTGCAAAATAACACTGGAAACTGTCAGTGTGTTGTCCTTCTGTCTGTACATCCCATTCATACATCCCATCTCTCTGGACTGAGAGCAAGCACATAGCAGTGTTGGATTTGTACTGCTGTTGTAGAACTTAGTCATGAAAGTGGGTAATGCACAGTACAACAAAGTAGGTAGACGCCTGAGGTAAGCCATGGAGGATAAGCAACATGGGTTTATAATCAAAAGGTCCTGTGAGGAAACCCCATTTATTTTACAAAAAACCCAGCTCCAAAGTAGGTGGTTAAAGAGAAAGAAATATGTGTTATTTTGCAGCTTAGTAGCTGAAGTAGTGCTTCCAAGGAGATGAAATCCTAGTGTTATGGAGAAATTTGAGTAAACAAAGACTTTCCTGTGCAACTGTTGAAAAATAACTGGACATTGAGTGTAAACAGATGATGCTTGCAATGTAATGCATAAATAGGCTTAAGAGGAATGGGGAAAATGCCATTCGTAAACCACCTCCTTAAGGAATTAGTTGGTGAGAGTATACAGAATGTGGCTTTGACTGGGTGCTGTAAATTTACCCAGAAGTTAAACTTCTGTCTATAATTACAAATAAAGAAGAACAAAAAGAAATGATTTTTCTATTTAGAAAAGTAGTCCTTGTAGTCTGATTTTCTGGCTCGGCCAGTGATAAAGCAAGGGCTTTTGTGAAACTGATGAGAGCAAATTTTGCACTTATGCAGAGAAAGGTACGTTGTTAGTGGGTGACTGTGGTGTAACTGTTGTGGGGCTGGTCAGGGCAACTAAAGCTTATGGGTGCATCCAGGGCCCTGACAGACACGTCCTTTGACCTTGAGACGTTTTATATTTGTGTCAGCTTTGTAATATAATTGCAAACACTACTTGACTGTGTTTTTTAAACTTTCTCAGTTCATGAAGAATCTAAAATATATGCGTGGGTTTCTGGAAGGCTCTTCAAGCCTGCTCAGCAGTGTGAGAATGGTACTCTTTTGAGCATTTTCATGCAGGACACAGTATAAATCCAGAGGTACAGCAGGTTCCATTCCTGGGTTAATGAACCAGTTGATCTGGATGCTGCTGTTAGCTTAATGTACCGATCTGTAATGTGTTTCTTCCTTGGCTGAGAGGAAATTCTTCTGGAATGCTAGCAAAATTTAAAAGCTTTCTCATTTAGGAAATTTTATTTCATGTACGAAACAGAGTAGCATGACTATTCTAGTGTGTAATGACCCTGCCTTTTGGATAGCAGGGCCTGATTCTCTTACATGCTGTCTCTATGAAGAAGGGGATGGCTTGAGAACTCCCCTTGAGGTCTCACTTCTCGTACAAGGGTAAGAAAACACTGTCTGTCATAGCATTTTCTGCAGACCGACCTTAGAGGCTTTTCAAAATCTTGGTGGAGTTGCTCTGGTTACAACTGGTGAAAATTGCACTTTCCTGAACAACCAAGTAAATTGTGGCTGGTTGACTGTGTTGTAATATTACAGGGTGTGTAATGTCAGGGCCCAGGAGTAAGGAAATGCAGGAAGTGAATGTTTATATTATGGTCTTTGTGTATCTGCTGGTCCAGAAATGAATCACTTTCTTTTTTTATCAGTGCCCAAGGTACTGCTGTAGAGGTGGAAGGTTTTTTGGGGTCAGAGCCGTGAGTTACAGTTTTGCAGTTGTCTAGCTCTTGGGTTTGCACCACCAGGTTGCAGAGTGATTTTTTTTTTAATTTTTTTTTTTTTAATGTGTATTTTTTAACCTTTGTTCCTGGTGACATCAGTATTCTGGCAGTAACAGGGACTAATTCTGGGCTTCCTTCCAGACTGATGTCTTTGATCGGCTAATCGCCTTGATAGAACAGAAGCATTCCCAGCAGAACAGAAGGTACTCGGGATTCGTCCAGATACTTGCATTTTTACATGTAGTTCATGCTACCAAAAATTTGGGCTAAGCTCTTTGAAAGGCATCGTGTGAACCATGTGTTTTGAAAGAGTGACTAAAATTAGGTGATGAGTAATTGGTTCTTTCACAAAATTCTTTACCTGGGGAAGGTACCTGTAAGAATTTTTGAAGGTACCTGGGGAAAGAGAAGACAAAGACTAAGTGGTCCTATTTGTATTTAAGTTGAACAGCTTCTTCAGAAGGAAATATAGAAATGTAGGACTGAGGTGCAAGTCTTTCCTCCCCACCCCATTGTTTCTTTCTTCAGGCAATAGATGGGTAGTGAGTCCATTTTATGTCCATCCTTGGGATAAGAGGAGTAATTTGAATCACTGTCTATATATTACCTCCATTTCTCTATGTCATCTTTTTTCTTTGCTATTTTAGCTGTTTTATTAAAGAATAAAGAAGCTTGCACAGTTTCTGTGTTCATAACAAATTCCACTTTTCTGTGAGCTTTTTTTTAATCCCCCCTTGAAGAGCTTCAGTGTTAGCTGATCTCTGGACAAAAGACATACCACTGTAGTGAGTAGTCTTCTCTTATGGATAAGTTGAGGTTTCAGGGGTGTTCTTTTTGTAGGCCACTGCCTTATTTGCCAGCTTCCTTTAAGAGCCCTCTTACAGCACTCTTTAATTTAACTGAGCCTTCAGGAAAGAGAAGGACTTGGTTCGTTTGCTTGTTACAAGTGTGACTTGAGTAACAGAAGGCAGTGTGATATAGGTTGGTCTAAATTCTGCTTTAAGTTCAGAAAATTCCACAGGGTGTAACCTGCATGTTGGCATCCTGGTATACATTTTTACTTTAATGACTGAGTGTGAACATCTGCTAAGTCTTCTGTCTGATAGTAGACCTTCCAGAGTGAAGTTCAGGACACATCAGTGAAATGGTGAAACTTGAACTGTTCTTGCTGTACTGAGATTTGCAGTGGACAAATAGAAGACCTCACTCTTGGGCTAAAAGCTCTTCAATTACTAAGAGTAATTCAAAAATTTTAAACCTTCTTCTGAAGATTTTCAAGCGTAATCTACTGTAACACAACATACTGTTAACAGTTTTTGTGTACTCTTAAGACCTTCAGAGCAATGACTCTTGAAGACCAGTATTTTGGGGGAGAGTACTCAAAGCTCAACAATTGCTGTTTTTTAAATGTTTCAATGTTTGTTTCTCTTTTTGCCTTTTTTTTCCCCCTAACCCTACAGAAATATGTGAGCTTGTGCTGAGTCTTTGTCATGTTGTCCATTATAATAAATGAGTCACAGAATGAATTACCACAGTTTTCTGCATACTCTGGATTTGTTTTCTTTGCCTTCTTTAATGTTAATGTAGAGGTTGTAGTGTAGTGTATTACTGTTTTCAAAATTCTGTTAGTTTTAACTAATGGAAAAATGTGAGAAGCCCTGAATTTGCGCTAGGTCTCGCTGGAACTCATAGGCTGAAAACCTTGAGATTTCTGGCAGTTTTTACCCTGCACTATTATCTCCATCTTACTTAATTTAGAAATGCAGTCTCCTACTATATACAGTACTTGATTAGTGTGGGGATGGCAGGACAGAAGGGATTTTTTACAAACCATAAGAACTCGGTGGAGGTAGGTGTATCATCGGTGAGGGGTTTCTTTGAGTGTTTAAGGCTAAAGGATAAGCTCCATGACTGTAGCAATCATGCAGACTTGAGACTGTTAATTTTCATCTGGTTACTTTGCAAGTGGATTACACTATAGCTGTGGTCAATACTTCCTGCTGCTGTTGGCTGTAGTGCTGAATCAGACATCAGGATAGAGGAGTCGCCCTCAACAGAAGCATTGTTCTTCCTGTGGCCTGGTTGTGGTTTTTAGCCATGTTTTGAGAGGTACAAGTGAAGAAATGGGTGTTCTGCAGAGTAACATTAAAAGCATTGTTTTGTTTTTTAAAAGTGTATATTTAAGTATATATTTAAAATGTCTTTTTATTTTCCTCTGTGCGTTCTGCTATGTGCCAGTAATGGACAGCCCTATTCAACACTTGTGAGACCACACCTGTAGTCCTGAGTCCAGTTCTGGGCTCTCCCGAGAGAGAGGTGGACATACTGGAGACAGTCCAGCAGTGGGCCACAAAGATGATGGACTGGAGCATCTCTCCTGTGAGGAAAGGATGAGAAAGCTGGGACTGTTCAGCCTGGAGAAGAGAAGGCTCAGGGGTATCTCATCAATGTATATAAATACGTGAAGGAAGGATGCAAGTAGGACAGACCAAGGCTCTTCTCAGTGGTGCCCAGTGACAGGACCAGAGGCAGTTGGCACAACCTGAAACACAGGAGGTTCCCTCTGAACATCAGGAAACACGTTTTCACTGTGAGAGTGGCTGAGTACTGGCACAGGTTTCCCAGAGAGGTTTTGAAGACCTTGGGAGATCTTCAGAAGCTGTCTGGACATGGTCCTGGGCAACTGGCTGTAGGTTGTCCTGCCTGAGCAGGAGTTTGGACCACATGACCTCCAGAGGTCCCTGTGATTCTGTAATAAATATCCTATTTATGTTCCTTGTTAAAGGGTAGAATTACTTTTGTTTTCACCACCTTGGCAGCAAGTAGCTATTGGAATTTCCTAACCATTTCCATAGATGTGAGAAGGATTTATCCCCATATTTTCCTGAAAGGGCTGTCTCGTCCTGCTTCTCATGCTAAAGGGGTTGGGAAAATAACTTGTTCTCTATCCTTCTCTGTCAGAAAGGAGACCTGTGACTTGTTTATGGAGTATGCTGTAGGCTAATACTGATGTTGCAAGTGGAGAGACACTTGGTATTGGATGCATGAGTCAACTGAAGACTGCAGATCTTTCCCATAGCTGTCCTGGAGCAGATAGACTCTCTCTCATCCAGCAGGCAGAAATTGTTTGAATGTCCTTAAGGTTATTTGCTGTGTGTCTGCTTTTTACCTGTGGTTGGCAGCAAGAACTAAATCTGAAAAAGTGTTTCGATGGAGCAGATTGATTGTGTCAAACCAGGCAGAAGCTCTTCTGCTGGTTGGAGCAATTGATCTTTGAGACTTTTTTGTGAGGAGCTATAGGGAACTTGTGGCAGTGATTTGGGCCCTGATGCTATTTGACTATGCAGTTTAAGTAAAAGACTTGTCTGAGAAGTACTTTGTTTCTAATTGTACCTTTAACATACATTGAGGACTTAACAGCTCACATATAGAGATCTTCAGTACTCACTCAAAGAGTTTAAAAAGGGCTGTTAGGCATCAAAGATGCTACTGTAAGGATAGAGACTTAGTCTTTGGGTGAGTCATACAAACACTGTGCTAACACACTAAGTAGTAAAGGAAGAGCACTATTAATCCAATTTGTTACATGCAGTTGTGCCACTGAGCCTGTGAAGAAGGTTTTTGCAACACTTCTATCTTTGAAGAAATTATCTGAGCCCCCCTGTTATAGGTTCAACCTGCCCCTACACCCTCTCTAAAACTAATCAAGAAACTTTTTATAAGCCCGTGTATACAAAATTTAATTGGAACATGCCCGAGCAAGAAATGCAAAGTTAGTTTATGAGTATTCATGATGACTATTGCGGTTGTGAATGAATAAATAAATATCTTCATTATAAACCATCCCAGTTTTGGATTCTCACATGTAGGCCTTCCAGAAAATAATATACTTCACCCAGTGCACCAGGTGATCTTTTAAAGACTGTGTTGGTGAAGTCAGGGAATAATTAAGCATCAGAAACTAAACAGCAGATAAGAACTTTCACAGGCAATTGACATCAGACACCTTGCTGTGAATGCTCAAGTATTTTTTCCGAAATGGGTCCATCCCTGACCTCTTGGTTCTGATTGTGTTGACCAACTAAGAAAGTACTATGGGAAACAAGCCTGAGAGCCAAAATCCACATTTCTCCTGGAAACCAAGTATCATGGATTCAGTAGAGAGACAAACTAAACAGCAAATCGCAAGTTTCCTAACTCCCTTGTCCCCACTAAGCCATGCCTGGTTCAGAGGTATCATTCTCTTGTGCTCCATCTCATGAACAACTTGGTCAGTTTTGTGCTTTCTGCCATGCATCTGTCTTCTCAGTGGAGCACAACTGAAACTGTTTGGTCCTCCTTTACCTGTATTTCAGGCTTGAAGAAAGGATCTAAGACATAAAATCTAGCCTTACTGTTCCTTGACAGTGTGCTTTGATGTGACAAAATAGTCCGTTTTCCAACAGACCTACAGTAGTGCTATTACAACTTGGTTTTAGAGCACTGTCATAAAATACTGCTTTTTAAAAAATCTGTCCTCTAAGGAAACTGAACTGTTAGACAATATTTTCCTTTTTTGATCCTACACACTGTGACTTCGTTTATATTTTTTATATTGTGGTGCATTTTGCTTATATTTCCAAATATGCATAGGATCAGTTCTAGTAATAATCCATTATTTACCCATATTTACATTTGAGTGGTTGTCTTTAAATTACTGACCTTTAATATTTGTCAGGATGGCAGTTGAACGGCAGTTAGTTTTTTCCTCATATAAACTAGTAGCCATACTAGTTACAAAAAATGTCTTTTAATATGTATTACAATTTTGTTTACAATTCAGTCAATATTTTAATAGTTGGATTAAGTGTGGGTTTTTTGTGTTTTTTTTTCCTAAATGTTTAAAGAATGCTGATTTTCCTTAAATATAAGGAAACACTGTAAAAAAACAATTGCCTTAAGGCCAAGAAGAGTTGTACTAGCTATATGGATGCCTGAGAGTAAGGTGCTATGGGGCATAAACAGCTTCAGGAAATGCTTTCTCATTTGTAAAATAGAGGTGACAGTTCTTCGGTAACAGAAAAGTGCAGTAAAATGTGTGGATGTTGTGACACAGGAGAAGAGGAGGGAAGAAAGGGGTAAAGGAATTAAATTAATATGTAGAGAAATTACTCTTTTGGTCTGCTGATCAGTTTATTAATAATTTGTATTTAACTAGGTGGTTGAATCCCTTATTTATTATTGGCCACAAACGGAAGCTTGAAGAAGATGATATGTATAAAGTGCTGCCAGAAGATTCCTCAGAGAAGCTTGGAGAGGAATTGCAGTGGTAAGGAGAAAATAATTGTTCTCTTTCACTGTATTTCTGCTGTCAAAGGTGAAAGTCTTATTTCTGTTCTAAAGCTAAGAAAGATTGTTGTAAAGTTTAACAAGGCCTACTGTTAAAAATGCTGAAAAATTAAGAGTAATATTTAGAACTTGTTTACCATGGAAGCATTTTAATATTTTAAAGTTATACATAATGAATATACATTTGAGTATTTCTATTATGTTATTTATAATTCATTTGACACTTTGCAGAATGCTTGGAAAAGAAGGCTTTTCATCAACTGTTACTGCAGTATTCCTTAATAAATCAATGTGAGTCTTCTGGCCTGAGGTAGAATAGCTATGGAAACTTTTTAAATTTTCCTGTGTAGAAGTAGAGAGGTTGTTTCAGGGGTTTTTTGTTGGTTTTGGTGTTGAGCACAAACTGAATTGACAGCTGTGTACCCTTTATATATGTTTGTATAGAAATATATGTATGTTGGAAATATGCTAAACTTTGATAAAGTGGATAAAATGCCTTGGATATCTTAAAGCTTGCATGTAAGAGGTGTTTTTATTTTGTTACAAATCATGTTCATGTACTGTGTACCGATTCATGTTGTCATGGACACAGGTGGATCTATCTTTTTCTTTTAATAGTGAAGTATCTTCCAAGAATAACAGCTTATGGAAATTTGTCTTGAACCTTAAACCCAGGGAAGGTTTTTGTTTTCAAATAATCTTTTGTTAAATGTAATTGGAATAAGAGGCGTTTCCTAGTCAGAGGTGCCCTCTGTATTAAGAAAGTGTGGCCTAGCTGTTTCTTGCCTTCATGGTAAAGATAGGCCAGATCAACTTTCATAATAGTTTGGTTGGGATGAGAGATGACTCAAGAGATAATAAGAATCCAGAAACAAAAGATTGTGACCAGGTCTTACATCATCCTTCTCCTGATGAGTTAACTGAAGAAAGAAGATCAGTGATAAACTCATAGGAGTGCTGCTTTTAACATCTTTGTAGCTGGAGAGCTTTGCCAAATTCCATGGTTGAGTCTTGAAGCAGTTCAGGGAGTTTGCTGTGAAAGAAGATGGACTCACTCCAGTAATTCTTACAATAAAAGCACGCACTTTTCACAAGTTGGGAAATGGTAGAAGATACAGCCTGTAAAGAGTGGGTTTTGATTCTTTAGTGTACTTGGTCAAAAAGCAGAGAATAAAATTCATAAATAGCAACCTAAGGAATTAGCCTTTTCTCTTGGGCCAACAAACCCCATAGAATCTACAGTTTCAATTTTGATGCCAAAGCATTTAGACAATAACTCTATAATCCTTGTAACAACAACAACAAAAAAGGTAAAAATATAAAAACTGTTTTCTTTTCCATACTGTGTGCTTCAAACCTGTGTGCTTTGTTGCAAAATAATTTGGCTTTTGTGCCTTAGGCTCATTTCAGCCCTCAAACTAGCAAGGTCAGAGGGTCTGGCAGAACATTTTTAGCCTCCAGAAGCAAGGGGTAGTATCCTGTCTTGACAACAGCGTGCCTTAAGAAGCCTGGTTAAGTTCTGACACTTTCCTGTTAAAATCATGCTTGCTATTACTGGCTTTGGTTCTGATGTGAACAGATGTGTCCTGCTTGTGGTCAGACATTTGGTAATGCTGAGGTCTTTGCCACTCTGCTGCTGTAATCCTTGCCTTTGGAGAGACATGTGGAGTGTTGAGTGACAGAACTGCTGCACACAGTTCCCTCTGCTTTTGTGACATATCTGCTCATCCTCATTGAAGCATGTGGTGGGGAAAAAAAAAAGGGTCAGACCTGAGAAAGGGTTGTGCATCACATCCTTTCTGGGGAAGTGCAGAGTTTATAGGAAGATAAAGACACTGTGCTGCTTCAGTTTAGTCCATAGTCAGGAGATTGTGATAATAGGCTCTTAACTAAGGTGAGTGGTTGTCTGAGCTGAGAGAAGAAGAAAGAAAGAACAGATTCTTCGTTGGCAAATATGCCAAAGGCAATAGTAGTCAACAGTGGTGAATTGTTGTGATTATACAAGAGCAAATAGGCCTATAGTACTAAGTACTATGTGTTTATGTGAATGAGAAAACATGACTATCTGTTAAATTCTTTTATATTTTTTGTTTTGTTGTATAAAAATGATCAAGGCAATCCTGCTCTAAGTCTGAAAGTGTTTTATTTCAGGTAACTGCTTTGTGATTTTACTTCTGTCCTACAGCATGTTTGTGTTTTGTTTGTCAGGTACTGGGATAAAGAGGTGCAAAAAGCAAAAAAGAGAGGAACAACGCCACATTTAACAAAAGCCATTATTCTCTGTTACTGGAAATCCTATTTAGTTTTTGGAATTTTCACAATGATTGAGGTAAGTGGTGTAAAATGTCATACAATTCTTGGCTAACAGCAAAGTGAAACTTAGCCTCTTAGATTGTATGATACATACTGGTAAGTTTACGCTGGGCTGTTCAGAGAACCTGTAACATTGATGTACTCTCAGAAGCTATCTCCCCATAGGGACTGAAAACTCGAGTCATAATTGTGGGATTATGGATGTGGAACAGATAGCTGATTTCAGTGCAGTGCTTTTGAGATTTTACAAGCTAATGACTTGCTTTGTAAGGCTTAGCTGTATTTTATGTATCTGAGTGGAGGGCTCAATAGAAAAAGGGGTTTTTTGCTGTATGTGAATTACTGTAAAGGACACGCATCTTTAAAAATGAAAGTGTAATACGTATGCATGCAATTTTTATAACATCAAAGTTTTTATTGGTAACTGAGAGTTCTTTTTAAAGATTCAGCTAAATTTTAACGTGGATCGTACTTCTTTTGGATTATATGTTGATAAAAAATGGCTTGACGTTTTAGAGCACAATAAAGAGAAAATAATATGGGATGACTTGCAGCTGTACTTGGCTCTTGTTTGCCCTGTTACAAACTTGAGTAACATGGCATGATACGAAATTGTTAATACTGTCTTTCCATCTTTTTCTTTCAGGAAACCCTCAAAATAGTTCAGCCAATAATTTTGGGAAAAATTATTAAATATTTTGAACGCTGTGAAAACTGTGATTTGAATGTTGCATATGGCTACGCAGCTGCTCTGTCTGTGTGCACGCTTATTCTAGCCATAATGCACCACTTATACTTCTATCATGTACAGCGGGCTGGCATGAAGCTGAGGGTAGCTATGTGTCATATGATTTATCGGAAGGTAAGCAAACCTGTTCACAGGTATATTTGGCATTTGACAGCTATTTCATTAGGGGAGTTTAAAAATACAGTTACTTGTTATGTTCATGCTTGCAATTCCATTGAAGTTATTCACTTGTAGAAATGTAATGCATGCTAATATGTATCAGACCTTACATCTATACCATGCTTTTGCTTTCTTTTTGGTAATACGGTGTCTGAATGACAGCTTTAGTCCTCCTAATGAAGGTGGTAAACTAAATAGCCCTAAAGCCTAGGGAGAGCCACTGATTTTTCACCTGCTCATGCTGTCGGAGAGGAACTCCCCCATTGGTGGTGGAAGGGTTGTGTGCTGGAGTGGTAAGAGGCCTCAGCATACAGCAGGAGGGGGCACAGCTCCCAGGGGATGCTGGCAGTTACTCAGCCCTGCAGTTTCATCCCAGGGGAGGACATTATTCTTGGCTGTCACCATCTGCTTCAGCACTCTCAGTTGCCTGGGAATTGCTCCACTGTGTTCTACCCTGCCCTGTCCCTGTTGTGGTTAATGATGGGTTTTATTTATATTTTATTCCAGCAGTGCTGTAGAACTAGTGTGTTGCCTCCTTTGTGGGCCAGAGAGGCTCCCTCCTCTCTCTGGGGCATCAATCAGGTTAGTTCGGGGAGAGGCAGCCATACTGTGGTACTGCTGCTGCCTGCTCCAGGCTGGGGAGGATGCTTGGCATCTTCACAGGAAGGTAGGTCCCTTTACTATCCCTCTTACTTGGAAGGCAAGAAAGAGAGGAGTGACCAGAGGAGACAAGGTTCATAATCAAGCTGAATCCTGAGGGTAGGGTAGAGCTGTTTTTTAGTATCAATTACTGGTTTTACTGGGGGAGCACTGGAGTCCTTCATTAAATCCAACAAAGTGTGAGAAGGGATATATGTTCAGCAAGCTGTGTCTGTGTGTCCTGATCAAGAAATATCTGTCCTCAACTACAGATGGAGCCAAGGCTACTGTCACATGGACAGTGGAACAAGAGGAGTTATGGGTATTACCTACAGGAAGGAGTTGAGTGACATCCAGGATGAGATGCTGGCCTTGGTGTGCCCTGGGGAGCATGTAACCCAACTGTAAATGTCTGCTTCCCTGTTCGTAAGCTGTTGGCAATACCCAAACCACTGAGCCCATCTCTGCTTTGAAGCAGGAAGTCCATGCTGGAGATGCTGGAAGGGAAAATGCCCTATCTTTCTAGCTTTAGTGCTGCTAGAATAGTGAGTGACCTGCCAGTTCTTACCTCGGCAAAGAAGTTTAATTGAAGAATCAGGACTGTAAAGAAATCCATGTTATTTTAATCATTAAACATAGGTACCACCCACTTAAGGCAAACACTTGTACTACTGGTATAGGTCATGTGAAGGTTTTGGGCAAAGCAGTAAAGTGAAGAGTAAAAATGTCCCTACTGTAAGTGATGAATGCTTTTCATGCACATATTTATTCTCCTCCCTCTTCTGATACCTTGGAAATTATCCTCTGGGAAGTGAGCTCTAACATGGCACACTGTTCTTGTACATAAACATCTCTCTAAGGTATTAATTTACTAAACTGATTATCATAACACAGTTTGAAATTCATTAAATATGTATATAGTGATGTTGTTTGTTGCTGTGTTGATATTAGCTTAGAAGCTTGGAAAAGAAATGTTCATAATGTGCACCCTTCTTTCTAGAGATGTGATTAAGTGGAAAATTAATCTCCCCTCATCTCATAAATGTTTACTCCTGAGGGTGAAGGCTGAGGTCACAGCAGAACATTGATAAACCTTTGTAATCATTTGTCTTCATTATCTGAGGCTTATAGATAGGTCATACTTTCTCTTTATCCTCATACAGGCTTTTGAAAGAATCTCTATGCTAATTTGCAAGTGCTTTTACGGTGTTCATTAATTGCTGTAGTAAATAAAAACTTGGATATGCAAGGATGAATGGGTTGGATGAGAGAACATCCTTAATGGAGAACTTCAGATGCTCAAGTTTTAGACCATTTTTCATTTCCCGGAAAGTTAAAATATCATTAGCAGAAACCATGTATTCAAACTCCTAAGATGTTTTGTGATCAGTAAGAAGTATTAGTGATGCACGCAGGAAGCTTATAACAAAAATGAAAATGGAATCTGTCTTATGACTCACAATCTCATGTTTTAAAGCCAAACACTACTTATGGGAGGCTGATTATTTGTGGCGGTGTTTTTTTGAAGACTTAACTTTTATAAGTTCTTTGAGGTTCAGAATAAACACTAAAGCACTTTAAGCTGTGGAGTAGTTGGTTGGGACATAAAGCAGCCAGAAAAGTGTCAAGTTATTTGACTGGACAGTTGTATTATTCCTTTCTGTGGTCAGTTCTCCCTTTTTAATGTGCTTTTGAATTAACTGTTTGGGGCAGGAAGATATTAAGACAGTAAGATGGGAGTATGGAAGGCAGAGAATGGTTAAAGAATTGAAACTGGGCCTGCACAGTTACATCTGGGGAGAAAAAAAGTTTAACTTAAGACATGAAGTATGCAAACTCTTTAATTAGTTCATATAATTAAGACCTATTTTCCTTGAGAAAGGGTGCTTGCTGGTAAATACATCTGTATGGAAAAACTATAGATGGAAAATCAAGCAGATCTTTGTGCTGAAAACGAATAATTGATAAATGTAAAATAAAATGTAAATTTAAACTACAGTTGCTTTTTAAAAAGGTGTGTGGCCCTAGATAATATTCAGTAGTATTTCTTACCGTTGGAGAGAATTTATAAATACTACTGTCACAGCAGTATTTAAAGCCACAGTGCACTGACTTTGGTTGGGATAGAGTTAATTTACTTCATAGCAGCTTATATGATGCTGTGTTTTGGATGTAGTAGAAAGGGAAATAAATTACAAATCTAAGTCATTTTTTTCCCTTGTCTGAGTGGGAGTGGGACATGACACCAGTGCAGTGTTTTCCCAGCTGGCTTAGGTGGATCTCAAATAGCAGATGTGTCTGTATCGTAAAGGAGTGTCAGTAGCAGTAGGTGCTGTAAACACACCCTGGTGGGCAACTCCTTCAAACACATCACTTGAATTCCTATTATTATGGCCTATGGATATCTAACAGCTTTTCTAGGAACTTGCCAACCTTGATCTGTCATGCAGAGTAAACATGTTAAAAATGTGGGTGCACTGTGACTGCATTACCTTCAGGCAGCTTTGTGGGAGATTTCAGATGTATGAGACAAATGGTTTAAGACAGGCAATGAAACAATGATTTTTCTCAAATAATTAAATCTTGTTTCTCATATACCCAGTATCCTAGATTTATTAATGGAATGTCAGAGGAATTTCTTAGTGGAGTCTTAAATGTTTCTGCCTGATGGTATAAATGAAGTTAGGGTTGTGATTCTTTCTGTGATTACTATCTTTGTAACCCAACAGTGAGATGCAAGAAATGTAAGGCACTTGAATTGAAATGATGCTTTGAATAGTACTTTAATGTCTGATGTTGCACCTGATTTTAAATACTGGCACAATATTTTTGAAACAACACTTTTCAGGTTAGATTATTGATCAAAAAGGAATCCTAATAATAACTGTTTGGAGAGGGAGAAGTAGGTGCGCACCACTTAAAAATGAGAAGTGTTTTTGAGGAGTGAACTATTGCTGCTACAGGAAAAAGCGTAACGTGTTTTGTATATCATTTTACTTGTGCTGCAAAACTGTTTTCTTTCTAGTGGGTATAGAAGGAAACGGGGCCTGTTACCTGCATCTTTGAACAATTTCAGTTTGGATCTTTGCAGTAATGTTCAGACTGCATGTTTTTTTGGGGTATTTTACAATTGCATACTGTTTTCTGCTGATTAACTTATTAACCTATGAAAATACTTGATATTTACTCTTGCTGCTTTTCATATCATGTGTTTAAACTTAATATAATTCAGAAATCTTATAATTTTGCAAGACTTATTAAGAAGGGAAATATTAATTTTAAAAGGGATATTAACTCTGATTTACAAAGACAGAAAGCACAGTTTGCAGCATTAGAAAGAACTGGTAATGTAAAATAAATAACTTGGTTCTTTTGTCTTCTGTCAGGAATGTAATTCAAAACAGTATTCTTTCAATTGGTCTAATGTTGTCCTTATTTTAATTTGGTCTTCAGGTGGAGTTTTCTGTTCCTGTTTTGAACAGATTCTCATAATGTGGGAGAGAGCAATGCAAATGAAAAGTTACAGACTCTTTAGTTTTAATAACTTGCTATATTGGTATTTTCCCATTTTTAATCACTTCAGACATGAAGATAGTTATGGCACGCTTGTTCTCACAGTTGTTCCTTTGATACTTTTTTTATACTCTCTTCAGGACTTTCTTCAGAACATTTAACCTAACCCACATTATCTAAGATTCTTAAACCACTCACAGATATTCTCAGTCAAAAGCTGAGATGTACATTTCGCTTTTGTCTCAGTATTGTATTTGTCTATTGAGACTTTTGGGTATAGGTGTACTGTAGTCTATAAGCTGTGAAAATTTTAAGATTTTTCTGACTTTTTTTAGGCTCTTCGTCTCAGTAACGTAGCAATGGCAAAAACTACCACTGGCCAAATAGTAAATCTTCTGTCAAATGATGTGAACAAATTTGATCAGGTAAGAAGTATTAGAGATCTTTCCAAGGGGCTGAAGAAACTGTGGGGTTTGGGTTAAGAAGTTTTTGTGTACAACTAGTCACAGAATCATCTAGATTGGAAAAGACCTAGAAGATCATCCAGTCCAACCATTAACCTAACACTGACAGTTCCCAACTACACCAGATCCCTCAGCGCCAAGTTGACCTGACTCTTAAACACCTCCAGGGATGGGGACTCCACGACCTCCCTGGGCAGCCTATTCCAACGCCTAACAACCCATTCTGTAAAGGAATGCTTCCTAATATCCAGTCTAAACATTCCCTGGCACAACTTGAGGCCATTCCCTCTTGTCCTATCTCTTGTTACTTTGTTAAAGAGGCTCATCCCCAGCTCTCTGCACCCTCCTTTCAGGTAGCTGTAGAGGGTGATGAGGTCTCCCCTCAGCCTCCTCTTCTCCAGACTAAACACCCCCAGTTCCCTCAGCTGCTCCCCGTACGACCTGTGCTCCAGACCCTTCACCAGCTCTGTTGCCCTTCTCTGGACACGCTCGAGTCATTCAATGTCCTTTTTGTAGTGAGGGGCCCAAAACTGAACACAGGAATCGAGGGGCGGCCTCACCAGTGCTGAGGACAGGGGTCAGATCCCTTCCCTGTCCCTGCTGGCCACGCTATTGCTGACACAAGCCAGGATGCCATTGGCCCTCTTGACCACCTGGGAATTAGTGATTATGTGTTTCTTAACATTTCTTCTAGTTGTCTCTCAAACGTCATAGGAAGAGAAATATCTTAAAATATGGAAGGAAAACATACTTTCCCCCCCAATATTTTCCTACTGTTTTCCTAAGCTCAGAGAAATGCCTGTGCATGAAGAAAAAAAAAAATCAGTGTGGTTAATTTGCTTACTTTCTGGAGGTGAGGCACCTCTGTGTAAATTTAGGTCTCTCAATCTGGTGCAGAGTTCTCACTGGATGCCTTGGTACCTGCCACAGGCAAAGGTGCTTCCATAACTTTGTGTTATTAGAGTTTAATTTTTTATCTCGGACCAAAAGCTAATTTTTGTTTCTTAACTGTTTGCCTAGGTAACGATTTTCTTGCACTTCTTGTGGGCTGGACCAATTCAAGCTGTAGCAGTAACAGTACTTCTCTGGATGGAGATAGGCCCACCATGTCTTGCAGGAATGGCAGTTCTGATTATTCTTCTTCCTGTCCAGACCTGCATTGGGAGGCTTTTTTCTTCCCTAAGGTAAGGTTGCACATCTTAGGTTGTATGTTTTTTCTCTCCTGGGTTTTAAAATGTGCACACTGGATGGAGGTAGAGTACTGCTCTGAGATCAGCATCTGTCTGGTGATGCTTAGGAAATAGTTACTACAAAGACAATACTGTCAGTCCTGACATAAGTTTGGCTTGCTGGGGTGATACAGGAGTTGCAGCAGAAAGCTATGAAGGTTTCATGTTCAAAGATCTTACTCTCTCTCCTCCAGTACAGAGATGCAGAGAGGAAAAAGAGGAAGGAACTGAGAGAAAGGAAAAAAAAAATGGTGGTGGTTTCGATGCCAGCTATGAGGTTTCTAACTGTAAGGTTCTAGGCTGTGGACATATTATAAAATGAGTTTGTAGTAGTTTTCCATTATCAGACGAATTGAATTTGTTTTTCTGTGACTTCCTCCTAAAAAAACTACTTGCCTCAAGTGGGAATATTGAATTATCTTCAGTGGTTTTGCTTCATAACTTTCTTGTGTAATTAAACATATGCCACTTACATCATGAGTTTATAAATGGCTTTTGAATCTAAATAGGAGTATTTTTGTGTTCCTTTACTGCGTATACATACGCTTACTAGTATTATGCATCTCTGTTGCATTTGTATTCAGGGTGAATGGGTTCCTTCTAGCTCTTTGGGTAAGTAAAACTTTTTAGTGAGTTAGTGTTGTTTTCAAGTTGTATTTTAAGACAAGTTTTCCAGAGAATGAGACTGGTATTGCCATTGCATGGCTAGGTACGCAGAGAGAGCTGAGAATTACAAAATGAGACCAACTTGTAGACTTCCTTCTATTTGTAACCACTTAATATTGTCTTCAGTTATGCTAACATGCTGTTTCTCAAATAATGAGCCATTCAGTGTTCTCTGTCAAATTCTTAGGGGTTTTTTATGATAAAACCCGTGTATAGAACACTTCCAATATATTCTTATATGTGCATTTTAACCGCATGTGTGATATGCGTGCATAAGTATCAAGCTACTTTACTGTTGGGTTTTTTGAGTTTCAGGTTTTTGAGGTTTTGAGCTTTGACTCAGCAGTTAAAATACTTAGCACTTAATTAGTGCTTTATCCATGGTGATAAGCATTATTATCCCCATTTTACAGATGGGAAACTGAGGCACAAAGAGATTAAGGGACTTGTCCAGGGTCAGACAACAAGGTGACAAAAATGTCTTTTTGAAGGTATGTGTTTAAGAAGTTAATCAGTGGCAGCGTAATTTGTTTGGATTTTTTTCCCATTCATTAACAGCCACTTGTTTGGATGCAGAGCAAGGGAAATAATTTGTTAACCAGAAAAACTTTTGTTTGTCTAGGTGTGCACAGATCTTTGTAAATAGAAATGTGCAGTGAACAGAAGGAGTTCTGGTTAATAGAAAAACTGAAATGGATTCCAGCTCCATAACAATGAATGTGTTCATATGGCAATTGCTGGGAATCTGCATGCATTTAAGGAAATCAGCCTATGAAGAAGTAATTTAAGGATTAAAGCTTTTGCTAAAAACTAGGCACGCTTGGTGTGGCAGCTAATTTGTGCTATTATTCGTCATTGTACTTGTGACCCAATCTTGTAAACACATATATGTGCATCAGTGTATGATGCTGGCATTTGATTCAGTGCTGTAGGAGTTTGTTGAAACAGACTCAGTATCCTATGGAATGGTATATGCTGTATTACGCAGTATTGCTTTTTCCTGCATGAGTACTAGAAGTTTTACAAAATACACATGACTTAATAAATTATTTGAGAAATAGTTCAATTATGGGACTGAAGACCATTTTATATATATTTATTTGCAAGAGCTCAACCTTTTCACTGCTTAGCCATGCAACTGTAATATTTTCATTTAAAGCCCTTTTAATTTTTTTTTGAGAGAAAAGCTGTGTGGAACTGTTATGTCAGACATGATTAAAAGCCACCAAATATGCCTCATGAAAGCGAAATGGAATTCTGCAGCTTGCTTAATTTAGAATGGTTATTAGTATCATAGAGGGGACTTCTCAGACACTTGAAGATTTTTCAGTTCCTTTCTTACTGCACTCTTAAACATGCTATGTGTGTTTCCCAGTCATCCTGACCTGCATGTACTCAGAACGTAATATTTTTAAAACTAGGAACACGTCTTTCTCTGGTGTAAATTGCCATCACTACACTGGAAGTCTGTGTATTTTAAACCATTCTATAATATCTGTAGACTGTGGCTTCTGGTATGTCTATACAAAATATGCTTTTTGCAAAGTAGAGTGTAGCTTAAAAAACCAAAAACAAACCCCAAAAAACCCCAAACCAAAGAAAGATACCCCCTCAACCTCTTGAACATTGAGGATGATACTATGATAACGTTTCAGTGGAAAAAGTGAAAAATCATTTTATAAGAACTATAGCCTCTTTGATTCATACCATTTAAAAAAGAAACCTCCATTAACTTCATTATTTTTGAATAATTTTCAACCTTCTGTTATTTGGAGCCACTCCTGGAAGTTAGGCCTGAAAGGTGACTGTTTCAAAAGATTGCATGTGAGAATTGTTGTTCACTGCTGAACATGAACATACATATGAATGAACATATATATGTATGTTCATGTACATATATATGAACAACACATGCTAAATTTTGGCTTTTGCAGTGGTGTTGTGAGTAGGAGGAAGAAGGGGTGAGCTCTCTCCCATTCTTCGAGGAATTGGTTTTGTTTTACTGGTTTGGGTTTTTTTGAGAAAGGAAAAGAGGATTTAGCAAAGATAATCTTGTTCCATGTCAGTATGGTTGGTTTAGGCTAAGCTATCTTCCTCAGCCTTACTAAGAAGCCTTGACTGTATTAGGGCCAAGTTCCTACGTTTCTTTCATCAGTTTTCTTTTATAAATATTTCTTAATAACCTGCTTCAGCGGGAATGTTGATGCTGAGCAGTTTTTTTTAAAATGATGAGCAGACACCTGAAATTCTTTCTACTCAAGTGCTTTAAACATGGCGATTTCTTCCAGAGCATCAGAGAAATCTTACAGGGGACAGATTAAGATGACAAAACATAGCTACACCTTCTAAAGAGCTTTTTTTTTTTTTTTAAAAAAAAAAAAAAGAAAAGGTATGTTTTATCAGAATATGGCCTACGATAGCTCACTATGTGCAATATATGTTTGTCTACATGAATTAATTCAGAATTGTAATAGGCTTTAGTAGCATGGTTTATGCATTCATTACATGGCTCTTAACTTTCAATGCGTTTTTCCTAATTAAAACTGTGACTATTATTTAATTACATATATTTTCCAGTTTGTTCATCAGTGCAAATAATGTGGGACTAAAATAGATATATTTAGTGTTAATTACAATTAATGCTTAAAGAATATTTATTAAACCAAACCATATCTAGATTAGCTCTCCTAAATTATAGCTTGTGTAACATTACTAAGTACTCTGTGCTTCAACTAGAGCTAATCTTCAAAAGACACAGAGGCCTATTACCTTAACAACATCAGAAGAGTCTTACATCTCATAGGAGTTGTTATTTTGCCATTGCAAAACCTTTTTAAAAAATAATTCTCTGATTTTTGTTTAGTTCTAAATTTAATATTTGTAAATTTCTTTATTGGAAGTTGTTTATACATAATATGTTGTTTAAGAAATACTATGTATTTGTGGAAGCTGACATATTCTGAACATTGATTCAACTCTCAGTTCCCTCAGAAAAGGGAATACCAGGAATACAGATGTACCAAATCTGTCTGCTGTGTCAGCTTTGGGATACTATTTTAGGAAGACTCTTTAATGCAATTACAATTATATGTGTTCCACTTACAGGTAAAAGAAAAAACTTAATATGAGTATGTTACACGATCAAAAATAGTCTCTCGTAAGAATCAGAGAATTTTTACTTCTTTTTACAGAAGCAAGACAGCTGCCTTAACAGATGTCAGGATTAGGACCATGAATGAAGTCATAAGTGGTATGAAGATAATAAAGATGTATGCTTGGGAAAAGTCATTTGCAGAACTTGTGAATGGTTTAAGAAGGTAATACTGGAAAGATACAGCTCGGTGTATGACTTGTACTTGTTTCTGTGTATTCACATGTCAATAAATGCAGTTTACTTCTTTGTCTTTTTGTTTTTTAAAAACTTTCTGTAGCAAGGGTGAAGGAATGAAAATATATCATAAAGGTTCTAAGAAAAGAACCTTTAATCTTCATGAACTCTGGGGTTTTTTTTATGCTTCCTTTTATGGTTGTGTTTAAAAACAGCAACTAATATGCTGTAGTAATTATAATTGAACAGTTTCATCCTCACAGTTCTGTAAACTGATAGCAAGGAATCAATAAGCAGACATTGCCCTTCTCGTAAACGTATGGAATCTGACTTTCTGTGCTAAATGATAGTATCCTCAGGTAGTACTTTTGCTTCCCTTTCCCTCAAGCCATTTGGGAAGGGTGGAGGGGAGAAAGGCAGCAGCTCAGAAATTCCCTAGTTGATGAGAGGGAGTTTTATTCCTCAAGGCCAGCTGAGTTTGGTATGCTAAGACATTTAATTTTGGAGGTCTGTCAGCATCTGATTAAAACTTCCTCATAAATTTGATTTTCAATCAATATTTGCAGTTTTACTTGACAGTATAAGAGCATTCAGTGCTAAAAGACAACTGTAGGAGTTCAGGTGCATATTTCTTATCGTTTAATTTTTGTGTTATGTCTCTCTCCAGCACATGAGTAGAAGGTGATTATCCTGCTTTAGATTCTCTGATTTTTAAATTTTTAAAAAATTTGATTTATTTGGTATTCCTATTTTTTAAAGGATTTTTTTTTCCTTTACATCCATGTGTAGGCTTGCAAACTTGCTAATGTTCCATAGACATTTCTTTCCATGCACATAATCCTTTCCTCCATCAGATTATAGGATCCTGTGTTGATTGAACATCCTTGATTGAGAGCTTTGCTCTCTTGCATGGATCCAGAGAGGATGGTTCTTTATTGAAAGCTTCCTCAGTGGGTGTATTCACATCACTAAATTATAGATTTTCAAGTTCAACACCTCATTAGGGTTAGAGGCTTCCTTTTTAATGGTGGGGAGAAATAAGCTCTTCCAAAACACAACTTGAGCCCTCTTTCTTTTCTTTAACTGCTGTGGAAAACTGTAGTTAAAAGTTTTAAATTCACCTAGGTGATTTATTGCCCAGTATTTCCACAGTGACCCTTGGCAGTTGCTAAAATGACATCTGAGCCCCTCCATTGCTCTCTTTTCCTGTGGTTGTCTGTATTAGTTTCCTTTTATATAACTCTGTGCCTTAAGACAGTGTAGTGTATTATATGCAGCCTGTGGCTAGGCTGTAATTTATCTGATATTTATGTAGAGTAGCACAAAGATCTTGTTGATTATCCACAGATAGTAAGAGGATTATTAAGGATTATTAGAGGGTGGGAAAAGAGCTTCATCCAAGATTGTAGAAGTAATTGAATTAGACCCAATTGAAATAGTTTACATACAAATGTTCTTTCACTGTACTCTGGAGGAGATCAGAGATTGTGAGCTCTTAAGCTGAAAAAAATAAGTCTTTGAAACTCTTTGAAAGTCTGTCAATTCAGCCAATTTGGCAAGTACAGTGGGAAAGTTGCTTAACTAGTTTTCCAGTAGTGCATCCTTCTGTCTGTTAAGTGAGGATTTAATTTACTTCAAATTGTATAATTGTAACTTGAGTCTCTAATCTTAGTATATAGTTCCAAGTGGAAGGTAATCAAAATGATTAAGATTTTTCCCAGAGAATTGCCAGAATATTTGGGAAATCAGGAATTGTTTCATGATTTTATATTCTATATTTTTTCAAGCAGGTTAAATTAGAATATAAGGGAAGGGAGTAAGTTGTTATGACTCACTTAATAAAGAAAAACTATTATTTTAGTAAGAAGTTAAACCTGATGGCATCCGCATTGTAGACAGTGCAGTAACATTTTAAGGGTTGGGTTTGATGAGTCATTTAGAAGTGGAAACTGAAATTTAACTGAAGTGGAAATTGGGAACATACGCAGCAGCGTTTCAGTTACTGGAGGGAGACTTATTTGTCTGTACTGTACTTCAGTCACAATTTAGTTTGGGTAATGGCTGGCAGAATTGGCCTCACAGATGAGTATTTTCTGAATTATGGACCAGAATTCCTAGAGCAAAAGAAGCCAGGGTCCAAATCAGGAAGAATTAGACAGAGATCAAATTGAATACTGCACATCCTGTGATCCAGCTTGAGGAGCAGCAGCTGAATAATGTCAGATACTTGGGCAATAGGTGAACTCTTGGAGTTTTGGAAGTTGCCCTCTTTTTTTCAGCTGCAGAGTATGGTCGATCTTATCAGGAGTTTTGTGACTGAACTCTACTGGATTTTGATATTGGAAGGATAAGGAGTTTGTGGGTGTTTGGCCTTTCTACAGAGGGTTTTTTCCTCTTTGCTCTTGTATGCAACCCAGAAAGATTGGAAGCAGATTAGAATCTGAATTGAAATACTAGTTTGACCAAAGCAGAAAAAAATTATTTTGGTTTTCTGTTGCTGAAAAGTAATAATTTTCTGTAGCTACTAAGATATTAAATAGAATAATTTTCTCGACTCAATTTCTAAGCCTTAAAAATTCTCTTTTGTTATTTACCGTGTAACATACTTTCCTCACAGTTCTTTACATAAGAGTTGGGGTAGTGCAGGGGGAGAATGTAAAAGTGAAGTCCTAAGAGTGGGTTTCCCTCACCCTATTTTTGAAGACAACTGTAATGAGAGAGATTGATGTGATTGTTTATATTTTGCATTTTTAGGAAGGAGATTGCCATGGTTATGAAAAGCTCCTACCTTCGAGGACTGAACTTAGCCTCTTTCTTTGTGGCAAGCAAAATAACAGTGTTCATGACTTTCATGGCATATGTACTCCTTGGCAATGTTATCTCTGCAAGTCGGGTGTTTGTTGCAGTGTCCTTGTATGGTGCAGTAAGACTGACAGTAACTCTGTTCTTCCCTGCGGCTGTTGAGAGAGTATCTGAAGCAGTGGTTAGCATACGACGAATCAAGGTATGGTTATTGATTTGAATGGTATGTGGATTTCTTCTGTTATTCTGACACTGGTTTAATGTCACTGAGAAAAGCAGCCTTGTTTCAGTTTTGCAGTTTAGGATTTTTAGTAAAATAACCTGTTTTGAAAACTGAACATGTTGCTATCTATGCACGTGCAAACACGTGATGTACACTGGTAGGGCAGGCTGAAATGTAGGAGAAAAGTGTACGTGCGAAGAGGTGTTGTATGCCTTTTTGGAGAAGAACATGTGGACAAATATGCAGATATGTTGGGATTGGGAGTTGGAGGACAAAGCAGGCAAATAGGAGCTGTAGGATTCGTACTCATATTCCACGTATGAGCCCTAGCTGGTGTCTTGTGCACACCTTCAATACTGGAATGAAGACTCAGATTCAGTAAGGATGAACATAAGTAATGCTGCTGGTTTCGGCAGATGGACTTTATTTTTTTTTTTGGTTTGCTGCGTTTAGTATGTGTTGTGAATAAAATAGTCAAGTTTGCTGCATGTACTTTAGCATAAACTGCAAGAGCAAAAGACTAAATGCAAAATGCATTTAGAATTTAAAACTTAAAAAATCACAAATTGTCAGGTTATTGAAATACAGAATTAAAGCATGCCATCCATTTTAGAGCTTAATTTTGCAAAAAACCCACAGGTTAGTCTAGAATAGGGGAAACAAACACTCCAGATGTCATCATACGGCTTTGCGTAGTGTCACTATGCCATGTGTTGATGAAAGTAGCTAAAAATCTCCCATTTTGTTTGGTTCTTCATGTGCTTGAATACTATGAAGCAGGTTTTTTGTTGTTAAATTTTCGAGCTGTATTAAGCCCTCACAAAAAATATATATTAAAGAGATAATCTTTGCACTTCAAAGCAGCATTTTGTAAATGTTGATTAAAATGGAGTTAGAAAAAGTTGTGTGAAAATCATGACCACAGCAATATTGTAGGCATTAACATTTATTACTACTGTTTAAACTAAACTGTGGGAGGGGAGAAAAGTGCTTGGGATACTGGATGTTGCACACTGTCTTTTCTGTACTCTCATATACCTGTGTTCAGCTGCAGAGCAGTGTTCTTTCAAGGGGCCTTTCAAGCTGCACAGGTTGAGAGACATGAGTGGCCAAAAGAGATGCTTTAAGAATGGCAGAATGGCACTTGAGCAAAGGCAGTGACAATCTGTTCCTTTTTTTCTTCCCTCCTTTGTTTCTGAGGTATCCTAGTGGTCACATGATTTTGCTTCTAACACCTGGCTCTAGTTCCCTTACATTTACAGTTCCTTAAGGATGGTTCTTGGACACCAAATCCAGAATCAAGGTTCATTGGAAAAGAATTGTCCTAATAAATCTGTAGCATCCTTGTTACTGTCACCAACGTTTTAGCTTCAATTTCCCAAACTGTTTCAGGGTTGGACATTTTGCTTCTGAATGACAAGATGCAGGCTGACCAAAGATGTGTTACTGAAATGTAAATAAATGGAAAGGAATTAGAAGAAGAGAGTGAAAAGTACAGAAAAAAATGATGAATATGTTGGCTAGGTGTATTTGGGCAAAACTGAAAATGCATTTTTTTTAAGAAGGTGCTTCCTCTTAGGTTTTGTAGAACAAGTGAGGTTTCTGAACTGGTCATAAAGTACACACAGATGGAGAAAAGGAAGCAAGAGATACTATGCTTCAGGTGGCAATAAAGAACTATAGTCAAATGGGAAGTAGTAGCCTTTACTCTATATGCATTTATACATGCATAAGCACTGTGTGGCAAGAAGAATAGTGGTCTCCTTACTGTGTGTGTCACCTGAGCTCTCTTCCCCTCACCCTAGCTACACATCTGAGAGCTGGTCTGCAGCTGTTGAAGCTTATTCATTCTTTTGTGATGGCGCAGTAGGCTCAAGGTCCTCTCGTGAAACAAAGTGAGAGCGACTGTTTTCCAGAGGGTTATTTTGGCAGTCATGCAGAAAAGACACTAAGTTTCAGCTTCAAAAAAATCACAAATTGTCAAAAGATAGAGGTTTCTCTTTTAAGGACACAGTCACATATCAAGTAATATTTGCTCCTCAGTATCCTGTGGATGGTAGCAACTTTATTTTTATCTGTGTGAAAGTTTATTAACTAAAAAAAGAATGGAAGAATGTTTTAAGAGAACTTAGAGTCTCTAAGGCTTAAGCTACTTACTGTATTGGGGAGTTTTATTCCTAGTGTTGATTTTTTTTCTCCCAGTGTTTAAAATTCATCATGTTAACTGTACTACTTTTTTCTTCTACTTTTTTCTTCATTTGTAGTAGTTTTTTTTGACATCTGCCATATGTGATAGTATAACATTTTTGATTTAAATGGCTAACTACCAATTGTACCTGGGATGAATGCTAATGATAGAAGATAAATTCCTGGTAAATGCAGAACAGATTTCTTGCTCATAAGTGCTTTGGTATTTCAGCCATCATCTAAATCCAAATCACACTCCTGAGGCCTCTTCTTAAGTCACACACCCCAGTACTGATTTAGGCTGTGTCTGGAGTTTCTTTCTCTGCCTACCGCTCTCTTGTCCCAAGTTCTCTTACACACCCATTTGGGCCTTCCTGTCTAAAAAAGCCCTCAGCGATACTCATCTGGCCAGAGAGCTCAGGCACGTGTGGCTTTGCTTTTTTGCCTTTTGATGGAGATAAATGTTTACGTGCACTGAATCTTCAGACTGCTGTGTGAAAATACTTGATTTCTCACTGCGATCTGAAACGATACCTGCCAGCTGAAGTTTGAGCAGTACCTCTATGCCTGCTAACACTTAGCAGTGCTCTTCCTGCCCTCCCATGACTCTTGGGATTCTCCTTCTGCTTGCCCTTAGTTACTGACTTCTGTCTGGCTTCAGCAGCTATCTCACATCTGCAAACTGTTAGCTCAGTACTTGTTAACTAGTCCTGACTTCTAAGATCGAGACCTTCCTTCTTTTCTCAATGTATCGTCTGCTAGAGCCTATTTAAGGTCTTTATACTCTGATTCAAAGCGTGTTAATTTTTTGTGGTTTTGTCTTAAAATTGTGGTAGCTGTTATCCTTGAAAGTTTTCTCTAGAATTTGCCCCTTGCCTTTCTGAATGTATTTGAGCTATTTATAATTTAGCGTCAGTCAAGGTGTGCTAGAAGTATGGCTGTGGTACAAAAGTGCATGTTTATGCAACTTGAGGGAAAGGTTCTCTGACTGGTATATAATGTGGAAGTACAGTAGTGAAAGTGCAATGAACCAGTCAGGCAGGCGCAAGCAATTTATTTTGTTAATGCTGTGGACTTTGAAAGGAGGAGAGGTTCAGATAGTGTTCTGCAACCTTTTTGTCACTTGAAAAATGCTTAATAGGAACAGTGGACAGCTTCTTACTGCATCGTCATCATTCTTCCAAGTGAAACAACATAAGCCTTTACCAGCAAAGGAGTGGAATGGTAAGGGTGAGGATTTTACCTCTTCTGCATGAGAGGAGGGAGTCAAACAATTACAAGATGTGTCAGTGTTTCAGGAAAAAGCGTGAGTTCTTAAGGTCCATTTGCTTCAGGAATTCTGTTTATTGAGCAGGTGGCATCCTCTAGTACTTTTATGCTATTAAATCTGCAATTTTTTTTTTTTGGGGGGGGGGGGGGGGG